GCATAGCTTTATGAACAGAGTATTACCGCAGGAGGAGTGAAAGGCAGTGAGGAAAAAAAAAGTCACATCAGCCAACCTGCCACACAGAAAATAAAAAAGCCAATTTAGTTCAACAAATTGAGGGAGTAGGAATTAGAAAGGTATGCATTTTACTCCAAGCTTTCAAAAACCAGTTGTAGGGCTGTGACAAGATCTGTTCAGCACATCTTAACTTCCTTACCTATAAAATGGATTATAATATTTCCCTTGCATTGCAAAGGGGTAAGTTAATGAAGTTCTTTGAAAATGTGATAATCAAAGTGGGGCTTTTTCCTACTTCTTTATTAGCTTTTATCATCCAATATTTTATTCCAATAGTTTACAAAATTAAAATACAATGTGCTTTGCAAAACAATAGTGTTCACTTCCCCTGGTAAAGCAGTATATCTGATTTTGCTCCAGTTTCAAAGCTTAGTTGAAAGCATGGGAGTCGGAAGTTTGGTAGAACTGTTTGGATGGGAACTTGGAGAGCTGAGGTTATTCTGCATTTACAAAAACAGTGGCTGCTTTTACTTCTTTCTTAGTCTGTTCCATCTTTACAGATTATGAATGAAGCTTGTTTAGAGATACATTGTATTTAAACAAAACTAAATTACACTTTTATAAAATTGTCAACTTTATAAAAAGTTTTAAATTTAAGAAAGTTGCCCAAATGGTTTCCTCTCAGGAGAAATATTCAGTGCCAACCTCTCAAAATTAATGATGAAGGACTAAGGGATCTTGAAAAAGAACCCAAACCAACCAAACAAAAAAAAACTGGCAAAAATAAATAAAAAGTCCCATCATTGGCATTTTACTTCCTCTCCATGATGACACTTTAAAGGCAGGATATTTGTTGGATAAGTGAACGTTAATTCCTCCTACTTAGTCTATGAGATGAGTATAAAAAGAGTGTTGAAATCTATCTCTAGAAAGAGGCAACTGTCACCATTGTGATGGAGGGTACTCGGGAGGAAGCAGCCATGCGTTAACTCGCACGTCCGCCCGTGGGGTATGTCCGCACTGCATTTATGAAGTGTAGACCTGCCCCTGGGCTGAAAGTGCCTTCCCTGCCAGGTGAAGAGACCTGTGCTAGCATTACATTAGTTTGCTTTGGTATCAGCCACTGCAGTAGAACTGACCCAGCAGAGGTTAATCGAGCTTTCCAACCATACTTACTACCCACAAGGGGCAAATTTCCAAAACAGACCTCCAAAACAGAGTCTTTTTTTCAGACTAGATGTTAGGAAGCTCTGGCGGTGTCAGAGCAAAAGGAATGAAAGCGTCACTCAACTGACTAGCGTTACTCTTGCTTTTGTTACCCTTTGTCTCCTTCAGACCCTTCTAGGACAGACGTCTCCCCCTCACCCCATGTCTATCTAATATAGTTTAGCATTGAATGAATGATATTTTATTCAAAACTGATAATAACAATTCAGGTTACAAATGGACAGCAGTTTTTTGCAGCTGTTCTAGTTTTTCCATTATTATCTTAACATTATTTTCCCCTAGTTATATAAAAAATATCATATGCTCTTGGGGACTAAACAGGTCAACACAACAGTTTTCATTAAAGTTCAAGGTAGAAGTGGATTGAACCAGTTCAGCTTATTTTATTTGCCCAAAAACCTTCAGTGGTTTGATGGTCTCCAGGTAGAACAGGCATTTTCCTCATTCATGCTTAGAAACTCTTGTAAGGACTGGATTACATTTTGCTAGGTATTAGACATGACAGAAAGTAGAAAGAATAACACTATATTCTCTAAAAAGTGTAACTTTATATTGGCAACAGCAAAGCTGGAAGAAAGAATTCTGCATCATCACTGTGATGCGTACTGAAAATATTCTTTCTCAAAGATATTTAATAACAGAGACACATAGGAAGACTAGAAATCAGATCTCAGAAAAACCTGTGGAACTGAAGCTGGGAATTAGTATTATTTGTAAATCTGAGGGATGTAGACTGGGGGGATAGAGGGAAGAAGTCAGTACACTGGAGTTCAGGAGATGACGTTCTTACGACTGTAGTAGCATTATTAGGGGAGATCCTAGCTTTTTATGCCGTCATGACAATATGGAGTTTCAGGATACAATAAAATACCAGAAGAGGCAACAGCCATTGACTTATACCAGTTGAAGATCTTGTCTAGAGTTCTTGCAACAGCCTCAACATTTACACTTAGATGTGCTTAGCTTCAGAAGTTGACTGCAAAAGCTGTTAATACAGGTAAAAAGAAAACTTTGGGTTCTATGTAAATGAGTGAAACGAGCATTTCAAGTTAAGCAAGTGTATCTTATGGCTGAAGCCTTCTCGGTGTTATACTGTTTAAGTTAATCAGTCAAAGAAAGTCAGTCCGTTAAGGTGCAAAATGAAACCTGCATTAAAGTGGTAAACTTGCTTCAGCAGAAGCTTCTTCTGCAACAAATATCCTCTCCAATATCAGCAGAGAGAACATGGCAATTCAAGATGTTTTCTGCTAGATGAAAGGGAAAGCTGAGAACAAGAATATATGCTGCTAATAAGCGCTCACTTGCAGGCTTGATGTTTGAGGACTTGGGTGTTTTTTGGTTGTTTGTTTTTTTTTTCTTTATCGTTGTTGTTCATAAGTTATAGCATTAGGATGTTAAAGGCTAACCCTAAGGAAACACCCTTGATGGAACCTCTATGTTCTGAGCATATCCTTCCTCACCTCTTGAAGTCAAATAAATCCCAATTAATTTGATTTTCTATAGACTAACATTGCAGAATTGCTCATGAAACCATAGGAAAGATGAAACCAAGTAGCTGGAGTACAGCAGTGTAATCACATTCCAGCAGCCTGCCTCTCTTCCCATACTTTGGAAAGGTTACAGCTGCCCTCATACCCAGCTCCTACCCTCAAAGAAATAACTGCATGCAGTATCCAAGGTACAGCTTTACTCTAGTGACATTTTATCAACTGATAAGTGGTCAAGTGAAGTTACTTGGTATTGCACTTACAGAATCATAGAATCATAGAATCATTAAGGTTGGAAAAGACCTCTAAGATCATCGAGTCCAACCGTCAACCCAACACCACCATGCCCACTAAACCATGTCCCTAAGCGCCTCATCTACACCTCTTTTAAATACTTCCAGGGATGGGGACTCAACCACCTCCCTGGGCAGCCTGTTCCAATGTTTAACCACTCTTTCAGGAAAGAAATTTTTCCTCATGTCCAATCTAAACCTCCCCTGGCACAACTTGAGGCCATTTCCTCTCGTCCTAGCGCTAGTTACTTGGGAGAAGAGACCAACACCCACCTCGCTGCAGCCTCCTTTCAGGTAGTTGTAGAGAGCGATGAGGTCTCCCCTCAGCCTCCTTTTCTCCAGGCTAAACAACCCCAGCTCCCTCAGCTGCTCCTCATAAGACTTGTTCTCCAGACCCCTCACCAGCCTCGTTGCCCTTCTCTGGACACGCTCCAACACCTCAACATCCTTCTTGTAGTGAGGGGCCCAAAACTGAACACAGTATTCGAGGTGCGGCCTCACCAGTGCCGAGTACAGGGGCACAATCACTTCCCTGCTCCTGCTGGCCACACTATTTCTGATACAGGCCAGGATGCCATTGGCCTTCTTGGCCGCCTGGGCACACTGCCGGCTCATGTTCAGCCGGCTGTCGACCAACACCCCCAGGTCCTTTTCCGCCAGGCAGCTTTCCAGCCACTCTTCCCCAAGCCTGTAGCGCTGCATGGGGTTGTTGTGGCCCAAGTGCAGGACCCGGCACTTGGCCTTGTTGAATCTCATACAGTAGGCCTCGGCCCATCGATCCAGCCTGTCCAGGTCCCTCTGCAGAGCCTGCCTACCCTCGAGCAGATCAACACTGCCGCCCAACTTGGTGTCATCTGCAAACTTACTGAGGGTGCACTCGATCCCTTCGTCCCGATCATTGATAAAGATATTGAACAAGACCGGCCCCAAAACTGAGCCCTGGGGAACACCGCTCGTGACCGGCCACCAACTGGATTGAACTCCATTCACTGCTATATTAGACTTGGTCCTGTTCATCATCACTGTAAATTTAATAAACTTTTCTTCATCAAGACCTAGGGTTCATGACCACAGTACTACACTTGTTTCAAAAAAATCAGACACAGGAATCATACTTCAGCAGACTGAGAGCCTTGTGAAGCTCAAAATCCCCAAGTTGTCCATCTTTCCTCCACTTGAACACAGAGGTCTGTTCCCTCTCAGTGACCTTTCTACAATGGAAATCCCCTGGACTCTCACTAGTAGAAAGGCACACAAAATTGGTCCCCATCCAAACAAGCTTTAATCCTTCCAACACATGCAGCAAACTTATTTATCTCCCAATAGCCTATTCTGATTTTAAAGGGAAAATTTTCTAAAAAAAGCAACTCATGGGCTTATAACACATAGGAGCGAATAGCAAATATTTCCTTCGCTTATCAGAGCAACACCTTTAAAAGAGATAATGTCACTGCAATATTGTCACTGTTTCTTTCTGATGCCACAGGTTGGGGAAGTGAGAAGACTGTTGAAAAAGCACTCTATCAATAAACTCAGGAAAATGAGGATGAACAGTTTAATCACCATGTGCAGTGCATCACGCTTTTCTTTCATAAATGCATGTGCTCAGATATTACTGTTTGTCAGCTCAACATAAGCTGCTTGTAAGTACATCATTTATCTCATTGAGTGGCTTGGTGGCAAGGTGTTTCACAAAAGGAAGGTATATGCAGTTGCACAGTGTTTCAAAGCATCAGTCTTACTCACTTTTCCAGATAATAACAACCTGCCATACACAGCTACTAGAAACAACACAGCAGCACTTTGCTTTCAGCTTCAAAATGGAGAGAAGCAGTTGGTGCCCATTCACAACTAGGGCTGCTAACACGGAGAGCTGCAACAGGGTTTGGGAGGTCATAACACATCAAGGATCCCAATGAGAACCCACACACAGAAACAAGCCCTTCACAGAGCTCTTCTGCAAGCAGACCCTTGTTTTTCATGGCCACCTTTAACAAAGCCAGGAGCCAGATGCTTGCTTCTTTAAGCCCTTGAGGTACCTGAAGATGCAGCAAGGCAAGCACTCAGGGTCAAGGAGCATGCACATCCTTACTAATGGGAATGAAGGCTATGTGAAATGAAGGGCTTGGTAGGCGCTTTCTCCAAAACAGCTTCCTTCTGCAAACCATTCCAAGAGGCAAACTCTTTCCTCTACAGCAAGCATTACTGAACTCAGTGGTAGATACAGGATATCCATTGAAAAGTCTTTCACAGTACTAGGATACAATTCCCTCTATGAACGAGTGGAGTTCCTGTTATGGAGGGATGTTTGCTTTGTGTTTATGTTTTATATTACACTCAAAGCTCTACACTAGCTCTTGTCCCTCAAGTACTCCCATCAAATCAAAGGTGAGATAAAATAGTGCCTACACATCTTACCTCTTCCAGTATGCCAGAGATGGGAGCAGTGGGTAGCGTGGGGGCCCAAGACCACTTTTGTCTTTCCTATTTCAAGCCCTTGAGTCATGTGACAATTATCTGCCTGACACTGTTTTTCCTTCTAGAGGCTGCATATCTAAGTTGCACTGGTATTTTATGGCAGTCTAATTATATACTGAAAAAGTTTCCCATGAAAGAATATCAACATTTTCAGTTAACCACTTCAGGCCACATAAAATACCATAGAGCAGCAAATCTGTGCTGTGTTAGCTTTCATTGGGTGAGAGGTACAGGCACGACTTATACTGGGAGCAGGCAGACAGGAGACTCAGAAGTAGCTGAAAGAGCAACACGTGATCTATGAGACAGATCTTGCCCTGTTTATGACTTCTTCGTGACTCCTCTTCCTGATACGCCTCCACTTGCTCTCCATAGGGCAAAATTTCCTATGTTTTTTCTTATCTGCTGATAAACACGCACACCTCATCTCCCTGCAGCCTAAATTACATTTCCTAGTAATGCACAGTTACAAAAAAATCAGCAGTTACTACTTCATCTCGGGGATAACTCCAGCAAAAAATGCAAGAAGATTAGGGCAAGAGCTGACATTGGTATTCTGAAAGAGACTATGATAATACCATTGGGATGCCATTTGCTTTTACTTTTTCTTCTGGGATTCAAAAGGATATTCCTCACTTAGAAGGTAAGACGTGCCATCCAAATAATGAATTCTCAATCTAAATTTGAAAAAATGAACCAAAATCATTCCTGGTCTACGATGGGTTCAAAGCTCTTCAGAAAGTGCTCTGCAAATTTCTATCCACAAAAAAGAAGAGAGGAGAGACAGAAAACAGCCAAATACATTATACATCAAAGAAGAGATGTAAATACAGACATGTCTCAGGACTTGCACCTACTACAGGCCAACAATCTACCTATGTTAACATCAACTATTTTGGTTATGAGAATATTTCTAGTTGAGGGGTTAAACCTGGACCAGAGCTCTATCCCTTACACTGCACATGAAACATGACTCAGGAAGCATCAGGGGAGAACAGAGGCACTTCCAGCAGCTGCTGGGAGGTGGTAACTCTGGAGTCTACATAGCAATGTACCTCCACAAACAGCAGCAGAAGCTTCTTCATTTCTAATCTTCTTTTACAGCCTTTAGAAAAGTTACAATTCTGCTCCCCTCAGCTCAACCCGGGGAAGGCTGTGGGCAAGAGCACCGGTACCAGAATCTGCGTTGGAATAGATTTATTATTTAAAGATGAGAAAAAATAGAAAGTAAGATAAAGGGAAAGTATGAAATCTCTGCACTGGCAGCCAAAATACCAGTGCAAGAGATACTCAGTCAAATAAGCAAAACAGAAAAAGTCTGATCAAGTGCTGCAACTACCAAGTTTTTTATATTTGGTGCAAGCAGTCACAGGAAATCTAGAGAGAGAGATTTGCACATCTTCAGCTATGCTCTCCACTCACTTCTGATAGCAGTTGCAACACACTCTTCTCTGCAATTCCCTGGCTTAAAGAAATTGTCTGTCGTTACAGGAGGGTTCCAGGACTCCAGGTCCCTGAAAATCAGGGTAGATTATTGTGGGGTCTCAGTCACATCATGGATTACCAGGGAGTTCCACTTTGCATTTCAAAAGGTATGTTTGTTCAGACACTGTGCCATAAGCCTACCCTCGGTAAGTTTAGTTCTTTACCTGACTTTCGTCATGGCTTTTTCCATTTTCTAGCTTTGCAATGGGGTTAGGTTTTCTTAGCTTTAAGTTGCCCATTTCAGGCTTTAGAGCGTAGTCAATTACAGCTTGCTGCTTGTGCTGCTGAGTATCTTGCAAAGGCAGCTGCCTTTCCTCTAAGACAGCAGCGTTGTCCGGATAATTTTCTTTGTTATCATCATCTCTGTAAGAAAATAAAATTGAAATTCATCAGGCAGGACTTCAGACACCTGTCAAAACATTATGAAGGAAGAACAGCAACAAGTTCTTAGCTATTCATGGTATTTTAATTTTACCAAGTTGAGTAGTCTACACACCAAACGCTACTAACATTTATGTTAGTAAAATGAATCTGAGAGGCTATTGTTTATTGTCAAATCACAAGCTAAACTACTGTTAGTATTATTACACATTCAACTGTGGAGCCATTTAAATAAGACCAGTTTTAGAGACACTCTTTGGCTTCAGCTCTATAGTTCATATTCCCCAAATAAAATCTGAAACTGCCTTTTTCATGCAGAAGACCTTGCCCCGTCCAATGATTCACACTAGGTTATAATCTCACAAAAATGTCGTAATGTACAATAATTCCTCCCTATAGTCACACTTCCCTTCTGACAGTCTCTGTTTTTGAGGACTTTTGGACAAAGTGAGGGAGGTAGGCATACAAAGTAGGGTTTGAACAGCCAGAGATGTGTTTGGGTGGAAGGGACAAGTATATGCTCCCAGTTTGGAGAAAAGGTCCTCCTGTATAACAGCACATCTGGTGGTTTAAACAGACACTGTTGCTCACAGATGCTCAGTTAACTACTGAATCTGGGACAGATATCTTCAATCTCCACCTAGTCTACAGCGTGCAACCTGTCCTAAGAAGACCTTGCTAGTCTTATCCACACCCAATCAATCCAACCTTAGACTGGTCTAATGCCTTCCACTGGGAGCGTCTCCCTGGAACCATTAAGAAAGATACCGCAATGCAGAATGCGAGGCTGCCTGCTGAGTTGGCAGGATGAACAGATCGGCATTACTGCTCTGAAATCCCTGGCTGTTGCTTAGTTTGCAGGTGGAATTTCAGATGTAAGCTTCAGCTGGTAAAATCCTAATGGTTAGCCGAGATAGGACCTCTCTCCTGGTGTGAAAATTCCACAGCCAAGGGAGTCAAGGACTATTGAATTAAACCCCCCCGAGATTTTTTTAGAAAGCATAACTTGCTAATTCAATGGTTTTTTTCTAAGGATTCTGAGCTGCCAAACTCACTTTCCATCTGTGGCCCATCAGCATCCAGATGGATGCTCGCAGGGTGCCTATGGAGTTAAACACCATTGCTGCCCATGCCTTCTGCAAGTGTGCTCCAAGGCAGTTGTTATAGTTACAGAGTAGGGCGCTTTATATCCTATGGGCATTTCAAGAATGTGCAGAAGTGTTGCTAATTTTAAGATATCATCTGATTTAAAAATCTTTCTGGAAGGTTAAGTTGCATTCTCTAGCAATCAACATATACTAACGTAGCCATGAGAGACACATGCCTCAAGAATACTTCAGTAAAATTACAATTTGAAGGATTTTTTTTTCATAGAGACACTCATCAATGAGCATATCCTTGCACAGTCACAAAACTCTGCTTACTACTACTTTGTACCAGCTGCTGTACAGTAAAATTCAATGTATTAGCATCAGAGCTGCATCTGAATGAAAGTAATATGACGTGAAGTTAAGAACATAGACCATAATATATTTACTCATATAATAACAACAACAATTAATCTTAATATTGTTTACACATAAGTGTACAAGACAAATATGCATTTCGCAGAAATACTAATAGCCTTAGCAGGTAATACCCCAGAAATTCTGCATTCCCTTGAGAATAAAGGTTTCTTTCTAATGGTTTAACAGAAGCAGTCTGACAGCTTTATTTGTTGCCAATGGATTTCAGACAAAATTTGCAGCAGAATACCTGGGGCTGGAACTGGCTGCTTGATCTTCATGTACAGAGTCTGAATCCCCGTCACACCTTGAAAATGTATACAAAATAATTGCTGATTTTCTGCCAGTTGCAGAAATTTAGCTTTTAATAACATGGCAATGCAGCTCAAAGTATAAACACATTTCTCTTTCTCACATCTTAGCTGGGGTCATTTAATGCCATAGCTGCTCCATGATAGTCTAAATCTCAGAGCAAAAAGAGGATTTGAGGTGTTAAATGTACACAATTTGATATATCATTTTCAGCCAGATGGAAATAATGATGACAAAGAATTCAGATGTTTCCATACAAATTACAGGAAAATTACGAGAAATTCTGTATTTTAATTGCTTATAGTATACTTCACATTAAAAAAAAAAAAAAAGAATTCGAAACAATTAGCTAAGGGTGTTTTTCTCCTAGACTCACAAAAATATTAACTATAGTAGAGCAGTCATACTTTGTGCAGCAGGAAAAAGAATCCCCAAATAAAAGTGATCGTTAGTCTTAAAAAGTAAATTAGCAGAATTTTTTAAGGTGCCTGAAGAATCATAATCAATTACATCCCCTTAAGTTACAAACAACAGAATTGTCATAAGGTTGCCTTATCAAAAGAGAAGTCTGAATAAATATGCTAACCACTCAGTGTTGAACACTATATTGTGCAGCACGGCTGAACCTGCAGAATGATATAACTGCAAAGCTTATGAGCAGTCTTTTTTCAAATAAACATATATATACGCATACACTCCTAACAAATATGCATATACCCTTTCTAGGTATTATTTCTCGGGAAAAGTCGGGGCCCTTTCCTCACCCTCTGTTCATACTCACAGGGCACAGACACTAAGCAGGCCTGGATCACTTGAAGTTTGCTGGCAGAGGAATCTCTTCATTATGGGGGAAGCAGCCTGTACTTCCACTGACTTGTTAAACTTTCAGAAGAGCTGCCCCGCTTAGGACAGAGCACATTAAGTGATAAATTCATAGCTCTGTGTTGCAATTTGATGGCAAGGTTTTTAATATATTCCTATTTCCCACCAGTCTTCTGCTAGTATCTTCATCAAAAGCCAGACTGCAGCAGAAAGTATTTAAAGGGACACTCAAGTGTTTACACTTCCTGAATACATCAGCATAGGGATGAAAGCATTTGCTGCTCACACCTGGAACACAAAACTACAGTTGCAGATTCCCCCCTAATCACACAATATTCCTGCAATGGGTGCAGTTCTCCCCACAAGGCAAAGTGGGATGACAGATGGAAGACAGGGGTTGATGTACAAAATGGGTAAATTCACTGTAGAAATCTAGTTGCCTTTGCTTCCAGATGCCAGTCACACCTTCCCCTCTGGTCTATCACTAATTACCTTATGGGTCTCTGACACCAGCAAGGTGTGAGGATAGGACTTACTGGGGGTATGAAGAAGGAAGCCCAGTACGAAAGGAACCAGAAACCTGGATGAAAACACGATGGAAAATTTCAGAGGGAGAAAAACATAGCAAGGAAATACACTGTGAGGAGACAGCGCCAAGGTCAGAGCTGGATGGATAGAGCTTCCAGCACAGACACGAGAGTAGGGTAAGATGCCATCAGGCGTGCTGTGCACCATGGGCCAAGCTACAGCCAACAAAGCCCAGGGACCCTCTAAAGGGACAAACTCTCCCTCCTTCCTGTGCCACAGAAGAAGAGGTGGGACGAAGCAGCTCTACTACCGGCTTCACTCACCCCCTCCTCTCACCAGTCACCACATTTGGTCCTGAAAGACCATTTTGGTGACTAGGAACACTCTTTGGAGGGACGGTGGATGACTGAGCACAGGTCCATCAGCCAAGTCTATATGTGCATACTTGTGTGCATACTCCTTAACTTGGGGAAGTGCCCTGGGGATTGCTTTCCCTGAGCTAGCTGTAATAAAGTGATCTTGAGAAGCAGAGATCCTAACTTAGCATCCAGCACCTGAAAAAAGCCATAAAACCAGACAGAACTTAGAAACAACATAAGTGAGCATGACAAAATGTATTTGAATAACCAGATAGCAGTAGATAGGAAAGATAAGCAATAATGAATCAGAGCAGACCGTGCCCATCATGTAATAAAAAGATTGTGAGGAAGTTCAGAAGCAACACACTGAAATTAAGAGAAATTTTTCTCTTTGTAAGAATAAATATTAAACAAGAAAGCTCAGTCACACAAGACAGTGCTTGAGGCTAAGACCATGGCAGGACCTTTAAAAAAGGTGAATCATGATATAATGCAAATATCCATCATTAAAGCGCAGAGTGTTTTTACCTTGGCTTCTTTAAGAAATGCAGCTTATGTGTTCACGCCACTTGTCTGCACATATCAACACAGACATGCACACACTCCTCTCCTCTCACCAATAACTTGTAAATATTGTTGTTCAACTTCAGCTATATTTAACAGATAGAGGGATATTCAAGATTTTGAGAAGTTTTGTGAAAGTTTGTGGCCACATAGTAGAGAGAGTTCCCACCAACCCAAAAACTGAAGCAGCATCTCACTCATTACTAAAACATCAGAGAATACGCCAGAACAGTTTCAGGTCATAAATCCATATGGGTTGAAGATTACATTGGGCAGGAAGTATGTCTTTTGACAAAACCAGTGATGTGAATCCTTTTCCTTCAGTGCCCAATCTAACTACTGACTGATGGATATGTCTCTTAAAAGTAAGTACATCCATTACTGATCTTATGGCACTGGCACTCTGAGTCCGGGCAGAGATGGGACCCCAGTCTAGATGGACTGCTGTTCTGACTATAGTACTGCCTCTGTATGTTTCTCCTAAGGATCTCTGATTTAATGGGATTAGCTTTTTTAACTTCCTTCCATTTTCACCTTTTCATAGGAGCCATTTCAGTACAACTTGAAAACTGCTCCCTTTTGCTGACTTGACCTTCACACAAACAACTCCTAAACCAGGCTGCATGCATGGCTTGCTGGAAGCTTAGCAGCCCCAGGCACTTGCCTGGTCTGGAGAAATGTTCCTGAAAGTATTGTATCACTGATTTTATACCATTCAGGAAGACCTGATTTTGCCTTTGCCACAAGTAAAGACAGAAATTGTCAAATGGGGATGCCTAAAGTTGCATGACAAGCTCTCTATTCTGCTAAATAAAAGTAACCTATTTTCTGATATGGCCAGCACAAACAACTAGTGCTGAAATCAGTAAGAATTGTGTATCCTCAGTGGTTCTCAAAAACAGGCTTTGGGGTGAGGCTCTAAACAGGATTGAGGGAAATCAACTCTGGAAACCAAGTTCGTTCATTTGGACAATGCTTTTCAGATGTCATTGTTTGCTTGCTTTGTTTTCTAAAAGTATGTTTCTACTTCCATGTTTGGGAAGATAAGACTAAACATTAAAGCTCCTGAAACAAAACCAACAACAGCTTAAATGAGGGAGATTCACCCTTTAGGCGATGCCTGGCCCAGCCCCAGCTCTGCCATGCTGCTGCCTCTCGGCTCGGCTCGGCACAGCACAGCACCTTCTGCACTCCTCTTCCTTTCCCCAGGGGCAGTGCTGGCACTATGCAGTCAGCTTTTATGCCATCCTGGCCCTTGTCTTCATGGTCACATGAAGCACCACAGAGAAAGGCCATCACTTTCAGGTCCCAGAAACCTCAAGGGTGAGGCAGGCACAGGGCCTGCTCCAGGGGAATCTCTACAGGAAACAATGGATGTACTTAGGGATAGAGGAAAGGGAAGGAGAAAAAAATATGAAAAATGTACTATCTGTAATCTGGTTATTCTTCTGTGAAGGGGGAACATCCCAGAATTTTACAGACCACAATTCATCACTTAACTAATAGGGACACAGGAAAATAATAAAAAATTACTTAATGATTTATTAGCTTCTGTTAAATCTTTCCATATATGCCACAATCACACAAAAAGCGTGTGGCAATAAGTTAAAATATTAAATAAAGCAAGGCAATGTAAGCAATAAAGCAAAGCAGTGTAAGAGAGGGAAATTATTTGGATCCCTATGAAATGTTACTTTTCCTGTAGTGATTTTGCAACACTTAGGGATGGCTCAGATGATTACAGCTTGGCCTGCTTTCAGAATGTATCCTGTCCCCACAACACTTAGGCAAACAGCTCACTGCCCAGCTAGGGTTTTTTAAATTATGAGCATTTCAGCAGTGTAAAACTCACCTGATACACAAACAAATCTATAAATCATTTCCCTCCTGAGAAACTGCTTGGCACATTACTGCTGAAGAATCTTCCCTAAAAGCTTTTGAAACAATCAAAAGCATGCAAAATAATAATGTAGAGAACACCAAAACTGAAGTGTTTTAGACTGAAATAAAACAAAGACCATTTCATTTGTAATAGTTCCTAAAACCATTGACTTTCTAACTTTCTAATGTTCTCCCTTGTCCTGTTCTGTTGTCTCTGTAAAACAACAACAAAAATCAACATATGTATCCTTATGATCATGATACGTATGAAAGGCCTTCTAATGAGTTTATGGAATCGATTACAAAGAAATTATGTATTTGGTACTTGGCCTGTCTAAATAATGTATAGTTATTTTTTTCAAAATATTTGCAAAGAATTTTTTTTTCTAATAATGCTTGCAGGAAGTACAGACCATGTGTTCTTAGAAAACTGACATACTTGTGTTTTTCAAGATCATCAGTACCAGAAATGAGCATATTTTCACAGGAGACTTATCCTACACTGAAAATCATGCATTTAAACATGTGTGATGTGCATCAAACATATATTCTCCCAGAAAGGTATTTCATTGCTAAATGGTCACAGAGCATGTAAAGGCAGCTGTTTCATGCAATCCTTCCCATACAGTCAATAATATACTTAGATTACAGAAAACTGAATCAAAATATATGACAGATAGCTTGGAACTTCTTACATACTACTCACAATTATTCTCTACATATTCTATTAAACTCATCATTCTTATTTAAAAATAAGGACGTCTTTAAAGTGTTCACTTACTCTGCTAAAGCTGTCGTGTTGAAGGAATTATCCTGAATGCTGAAACAGAAACAAGAAAACATCAGATAAGTCAGCAAGGCAGGCAGGCTCCCTGTATCCTTTTCAGTTGTAGGAACACATGCACAAACATGGCATTGCAAGGCAAGTCTCTGTGTGTTAGCTCTACATGCACGACTGTACCTTTGGCTGCTCTGCACATGCTCATAATCGAGGAACCATAGGGATTAGTCCTACAACACTCACAAAGCCCATCCAGCAGCGCTTTGAATTAATACAGGGATGCAGGTAGTCTGTGAGGCTCAGAAAGGGATCACATTCTTTTATAACTGTTAACAGTGCTGCTAATAAAGGCTTAGGTTTACAAACAAGTATTTGGCATTCTGTCCTTTAAACATTTGCTCTGTGTAATTGGCTCATCAAACACAGTTGTTTTTATTACTTAAATAGGGTTGCTCAGCTAAGATCTCTGGAGGTTTTTTCTTGTTGTTTAGCGGTGTCTTACACACTCAGCTCATGGCCAAACCCCAGGGGAAGCTATGAAAAAACAATCTGGCAGAAAGGACAGTTCAAGTAGCAAAAGGTTATTAAGCTAACAGCAAGCAATAGATGAAACCATTCCTATGAAAGGAATAGGCTGCTGTGCTCTTGCAACAAAATGTTTCCGACCTGATGTAATACGTTCAGTAGGGGTCAACTGAGGATACCGTAAACTGCTGGATTTGAGGCAGTGGTGGAATTCCTCCTTGAACACCTCTCAAATCCAGTAAATACACTGTTGGATCATCCTAAAATCTTATAGCAGCAGAAAAAAAAAAAAATTAAAAATCTCACTGCTACATACCAGAGTTGGGATTTTTTTTTTGTTTGGATGGGGGAGGAGAAGGCAATGCAGACAACAGCATCTTATGAGCACTCCTGTTTGTGACAATGGGACCTCGCAGACGACAGCACCAAGCGGAGCAGAGATACAGAGAGGCGCGGCGTCCTCCTCCCCGCAGCAGCTTGTGCCGCTGCGTGGTGTTGACACACATTTCCCAGGCAGCCGCAGCAGCCAGGAGCCACAGCCGTGACAATTTCCCTTCTCTCACCAACAGTGCTAACAGTGTATCTTATCTTCACCTCTTGCCAGCCTTCCTACCTGCTTGCACACACTATTTTGCTCTTTTCTTTCCCATATTTGTATGTATATGTCAGTTTATATAATGGCACAAATTACCTGGGGGTCAGAATATCACAGCCAGTCTATAGGACTTCTGCCCTACAAAGTAGCACATTTTGTGAGAGAAGGGTGAACAGGAAAGCTAAATTTAATGGTTAGCATTTAAATCTTGCCTTAGACCTAAAATTGCGAATTTTTTCTCCTCCTGTTTCTAGTTTCTTGCGTCTGACCGTACAAATATAAATTTCTTTATTGTTTTTCTATTTGCAGGAGAGCACCTCAACAAAAGGTACGCTTCTAGCTGTTGTGGCAATCAAAAACTCAACTTACATGCTCAAAAAGAGGGCCATTTAAAAAATCTGATATTATTTTTAATAAATATATTTCAGAATGCTTAAGTGCTTAGCTCTTGATTTTTAATGGTTAGGCTAGGTTTACAGCTAGCATTTCAAGTGTGTAAAGTAGGAATCCAACTTTTTATCACAAAATCACATCGATAAGCATCACAGCTTAATTAGAGTAGAGCTTAAAGAGAGACTGGGCATTTATCCCGACTCCCCTGCATACACCCAGACAAGAAGGGGAGCGAACACAGAATGCTCTTGTAAAGATAACTTCCCCGTTTCTACGTGCAAAAGTTAAGGTCAAGTTCTCTGCTAATTCATGCCCTGTGCGAACATACTGCAGGGCTTTGTTGCTATTACTAGGAACAGAATATGATTGAAGATCAGTTTGTAAAACAGGGATGCTTTGGACTGAGACCAAGTTTAAAATGTCATCGCTTTTCCATTGTTTGTCTGAACTTCAGCGCTCTACAGCTGTTGCTAAATCTCTTCTAGGCAAGCACTTTACATTTATTTCAGGTCACTCACAAACTTCCATTTGTTTTAAAGATGGTGCTTGACCAGTGTTATTGGATAGTATCTTTTTGCAAGGTTGTGAAACCACTCAACAAAAAACAAATTCCATGTAAAACAGAATAGTATTAATAAATACATGAAAGTAAAGGCCAGCTAAACCCAGGATCCTGTTTCAGAGCTAATCTCCCAATCACATAGATGAAGCCATCCTGCTCCTGGGGGAACCTGAGGGAGGAACTACAGTAGACTCACAACAACTTTACTTCTCTTCTTTTCCTCCCAGAAGGAAGTAATTTCTCTTTAGCGGCAAAAGTTTATTTCACCAACAATATTGGCTTGGCCCTATCGGCTGACCCCACTTCCTTTCACCTGCTTCCTATCCACGTGCTCTGGGTGACACTAGAACTGGCGAAGAGCCCCTGGCCTTACCCCATCTTACAAGGGAGAGCCAAAGATGGTTCAACCTGCATCTCTGTTTCCTTCTAAGTCCCAGGCACAGGGAAAACATAATACTGCTGTTACCTTCTAATTTTCAATAATGACATTAAAGTCAATTAGGCCTGTGATGCTATAAAACATCTCTCTTCAACATACTGAAATTCTCAGTGCCAGATATATTTCACCACTCCTTTCAGATGACATGTCAGGTCTCTCATCATCTTGAAGTCCTGATGAAAATAATGCTACACCTGTATGTGAAGAAAGCTTTGGACTTCACCACTGAGTAGCAGATATGCTTTTAACGACTTTATGTTTTGAAGTCATTAAAATACATCTTTCTGAAATTCTGAAAATAAAGGCTTTTAAATCAGTTTTTCCTTATTTATGCTGAACAGTTCAAGTGATTCATATTTTTTCAATATCATATCTATGGAAAGACACTTTCTCAGTTAAAAAGCTTCCCATTTTATACCCAGTTTTGTTCTTACCCTCTTTTGCCAAATGTTGATTAAGACAACATAAATATCACATGCCAGCTTTCAGCTGACAACAAAAATGTCAGAGAACCCCAAAGCAAACATCTACATATATTTTGGAAATACCAGGATTCAGAAATATGTTGCTGTTCACTTCTGAAAACTTGACTAATATATTGCCTATTTATGGCTGACAAATAGATTAACATAGAAATTCCATTCTTTGTTTGTTTTATATCATCAAGAGTATTACTGCTAGGTCAGGAGGAAGATTGAAATGGGAATCACTTAGCCTCCAGCTCAGTTTGGCATGTAATAGACACACATGCTCAATATAAATGATAAGTTCATAAGCTCAGAGCAGCATTAGTTGGCACTATAAACATGTATCAGGCAGTGAATGCTTTACAAAGACAGTATGGTCTAGTTACAGAAGACTGTGAAAGAAGAGTCAGATTGTGAGAGAAAAGGGGGCAGAAGTAGTTCTGGCTTAAGGAGAACAGAAGAGACTGCAACAATCAAGATCAAAAGGCCAGAAAAAAAGGAGGAATAGTGAAGCTTGCCAAGCCACAGTTGTCTAAATGGTCACAAACACACACCCCCACACACACCCCCTGCAGACTTTGTGGCAGCTTGGTTTCACCTGCAGAACAGAACCTTTGCCTCAATTTCCAGAATTTGCTCATCTCAGTAAATGACTGTGTTCTCGTAAGGGCATTTCTGACTCAGGTAAATGATGAGGCCTTTCAGCTTTAACTACAGAATAATGAAGAATTTGTATTGGGAAATAAACTGTGTTTAGAGGGAGAATTACATATCTACAAAGATCTCTAAACTCTCTAAGGTTCTGGGAAAGTCAGTATTTCTGCATTTAATATCTACTATCTAATGACAAATTCAGTGTAATCCTATAGGGTGTGATTAGCATTTATTGCAAGACTATTTTCTTTATTATTTGTTATTCCACAGAGTCCAAAGTGCTTGTGCTGAAATTGCTGCATCAGAGGCAATTACATTTTGCACTGTGGTTAGGCCATACAAAGGATCTGCACTAGATGCTATGGAAGGACGCGAGAGACGTGGTATGACACACTATGCGTGACAAGGAGCCCAAGGCGACTCCCTCCAGCTCTGGGAAGAAGTTACTCATGTTCTACTACCCAAATAAAGGGAAAGTTGGAATGATCTCCCCCCTACTGCCTCTTCTGGCTGAAGTCAAGTCATCCCTGCCAGAACCAGCTGAGCTCAGAGACTCATAAAAATATTGAGCAAATTTGTTTGCCTTGGAGTACTGTGTTCCTGCCAAGTAGCAATACCCTGAAGTGCTCCAACAGTCCTTCATCCCCCTCTCAAATTGTACCAACACGGAGACACGCTCACTCCTACCTGTATGCATACACAGCATATGCTTTCATGGACAAAATACATTCAATTCCGCCAAGGAGCATATTAAATATGCTTGTCTGTCAGGTCACTCTGCTACTTCTGAGGTCACACTTATGACAGAACACTTATTTAAGCAGAAAACAAACTGAGGGACTCTGCAGTAACTCATCTCTGCCTTCAGCAAGTCTGTTCTCCTCCAATACACAGGACTTTCTTATGGGATAAGAGCAGGGATCATTCTGCAGCAAGTTCCAGTGCCTTGCCCTTTCTTCAAAAGTGATCCTGCAGGATACTTTTGCTATTTTCCAATCAGTAAGGCATAAACCAAGGAGCTGCCATGTGAGAAAGAAGTCACATGCCTCTTTCCTGTAGTAGTAAATGTTGAATGCTACACTCTGTGGCTCAAAATATTCATGTGTTCACTGACTTGCTTTCTTGACGCAAAGTCTGCCTTTTTATGGGTAATATTCTCAGAGACATCAGAAAACATCTTAAGACAAATTAAACTAAAATACAGCAATTACATGTAGGAGCTGGTTGGCAAGCACTCAGTCCAGTTTCTGTGTCTTTGATTTTCTCAGTGACCTAATTAGCACATCATCTGAGTGAATGGTCCTGGGGGGAAAAAGCATTCAGCTGATCTTGCTGTATGTCTTAAAATGCACTGACAAGCTCATGCAGGAAGAGACTTGAGCTGAGCGTAGGTGCAGACACAGTTGTCATAGTCCAATCCAGGGCAATTCCGTAAGGCGTAT